ATCACTCATTTTAAAATTTCTTGTTATCTTGGCATGTTTTTCTCATAGTCAAGTCGCTAGCTGTCATACAAAACATGTAACCTTCAAATGCCAATACCCATCCCAGGAGACATTTTCTTGCAATTTCTTCTGGTAGACCTCTTTATTTATACCTATTAAGTCTAACAACCAGACAGAATTGCAATATCTCAACTTAAACCAGTGTTGTGGTTGATTGTATTTTATGTTATTTGATAATCAAGGTGGACTGGTTTTGGTTGTTCAGTACTATATCTACTACATCCTCATCCTCCTCCTCCAAACTACTAGTATCTCTTAACCATTACTTATAATTTATAAATATAACACATGTAAAGTAAAACTAAGTGAAAGAGAACAATATGATTTTGCAATACATTGGCTTCTGCTATTAAGATTAATGTTGCTATATAATAAATACTAATTACTGCAAGTGGGAAGTTATACATAAAGGAAAACAGACAATTGGTATGCAAATTTTAATTTTTTTTGTTATAAAAGTTTAATACAAAAAAATAGTCAATAATAATGCTTATCAGATTTCATCCATTTTCTCAGTATATACTGTTCCTTAAGGAACAGGTCAGAGTTGGATACTTTCATCCCTTAAGCTTGTATTATATCCTTCAGATTCCCCACAATTTTCTCTGACCAAGCATTTTTTTATTTTATTAGAGATGCTGGCTTTTGTATCCCCCAGATAAAACCCACATAATTTTTTGTCCTTATAGATCTTTCTCTCCCTTGTGTTAGTATAGTATATTCCCACCCACCAGTCTACCTATTACTTCATTCCCCCTGTATGTTTTATTACCTGTTGATGTTGAAGGAGTTCTCACTTACCTATTGTAATTTTTTTCTTATTGTAACCGGTACGGGTACTCGGTTATTGGTTTTGTTTTATGTTTTGTTTTAAGTATCACTTTGATACTTGGTTTGTTTTAAGTATCGTTTGATACTTAGTTTTGTTTTATGCTTTGTTTTAAGTATCGCTTTAATACTTGGTTTGTTTTAAGTATTGTTTGATACTTGGTTTTGTTTATGTTTTGTTTTAAGTATCGTTTTGATACTTGATTAGTTTTACCAAAGTGTATCGTTTTGATACTTGATTAGTTTTACCAAAGTGTATCGCTTGATATCTTTGATTAGTTTCGTTCATGCTAGACATGAACAGATTTGTGTATTTAAAGACCGCCTGTTTCTATGATAGAAAAGGCAGACTTT